GTCTATTTAGTTGCTTCATCCACACAGCTGCGCAGTTCTGGGCTTGTTCTGGACGCTTGCCAATCTCTGCCACGTGCTTGCTTCTAGAATTCACGTTGTATTTTGTGCTTTTTGTCTCAGTTGTAGAAAATAGTCTTGTACAGTCTTTGTGACTTGAAAACTTTCTTTTTCTTACAAACACAGTTCTTTTGTGACAGTCTAGATAATTTTTTTCTCTTCAAGGTTGTTTTCCCAGTTCCAAAACAGCTTTGTAACGTGATTCTTCTCTCTCCCCCTTGAAGTGGGAACAAAACTTGAATAGAAGACTGGCTGGCCAATGTAAAATCTGGTTGGGATTGATAATGTTGATTGATATATTTACGTCTTTTGTATATATAGTCTTGGGCCAAATTTGCTCGCCACATTAATATATGTCTATATTAATAAAAAGTACTAATACGCAATCTGACTTACGGTTTCTTCAGGTTTATTCTTAGTTACTGATACATAATAAAACCAGAAAGGATGTTACATGATAATGGACATTCAACAGCAGATGGTAATTGCTGAACTTTTGATGGGAGAGTTACATCTTGTACAGGAAAGAGAGCCAAGAGCCAAGAGACCTTGTGTCTCTTTGTTCAGTTACTATATAGAAGTGCCATAATGACGTCAGACTATAACTCTAGCCATATAAGGACAAGACCCCCAAATCCACATTCCAGAGCTCTCGAACAAAGAAAGCCTTGTACCATCTGTTACTTATGTCAATCCACACATCCATATATAATCAATAGAAACATAGAATATGCAATATTCTACAGGAGACAACACATCTCCCAACAGTGCATGAAGTTGCTTTGCCAGACCCTGACTTCACCCTGTTTGTGGATGGCTCTAGATTTGCGGACAAACAGGGAAGGTACCATACTCAATGTATCTTTCCTGGTAAAATATTTTATAAAAAAAATAAATAAATACTGGATTACCACTGTTACAACAGTGGACCAGGTACTCCAAGCTTCCTCACTTCCCTCATCAATATCTGCCCAAGAAGCTGAAATAAAAGCTCTTACCATAGCATGCCAAATGTCTGAAGGAAAGGGTGCTAATATCTACACTGATTCCAGATAAGCCTTAGGCGTGGCACATGATTTTGGATTAATCTAGAAGACAAGAGGTTTCTTTACAGCAACTGGCACATCAGTCAAACATGGCACAGCTATCATAGAACTGATGGATGCCCTACTACTCCCAGAAGAAGTGGCCATACTGAAGGTGAAAGCCCATGGAAGACTGAATTCAGAAAAAGCATGTGGCAACTATTTAGCTGACCAGACCGTCAAGAATGCTGCACGCAAGTCAAGGGAAGTGGGCAGAAGAGTGTCCACTGAAGTAACTCCCATATACACTATGCAAACTCTACCCATGGATCTCAAGCTTCTGAGAGAACAACAAGCAGCTGCTACCCCAGAAGAAAGGCAAGGTTGGAAACAAAAAGGGGCAACCCTTCAGGATGGGGTGTACACCATTAATCTCAAATTCTGCCTACCCAGAAACATGTATCCAGCAGTGGTTCAATGGGCCCATGGAGCAGCACACTTGTCCAAGCACCTCATGAACTCTCTAATTGACAAATATTTTGATGCACATGGCCTTATTTCTCTGACCAAGAATTACTGCAGATCTTGCACCATCTGTGCCAAATGTAATCCAAGTAGAATGGCAAAGGCTCCTCCCAAACATCTGGCAAAGCCACACTATCCCTTCCAAAGGATTCAAATTGATCATATCCAAATGTCAAAAAGTGGCTGGTATGAATATGCACTAGTCATAGTGGACATGTTCTCAGGATGGCAGAAGCTTTTCCCAGTTGCTAATATAACTGCCAAGACCACAGCAAAGCGTCTACTTACTGAAATTGTCTGCAGATTCGGAGTTCCTGAAGTAATAGAAAGTGACCAAGGTACATCCTTCACTGCACTATTGACCAAAGAAATCTGGCAGCGCTGGGGGTGACCCTTGCATTCCACACACCCTATCACCCACAGAGTAGTGGTAAGGTAGAGCGCATGAATGGCACTTTGAAAGCCAGAATGCTTAAGATGGCCCAAGAAACTAACCTATCCTGACCAGAAATTCTCCCCATAGCTTTGTTTAGTGTGAGGTACACACCAAGAGTCAAGATAGGCTTATCCCCATATGAAGTATTGTTTGGTTCAGTTTCTAGGTTAGGCTGCTACTATTCTCAACAACTCCAATTCCAGTCAAATACATCTAATAGGATTACATCTAATCTATATAAAAACCTCCATTTATATAAATATGCACAGGGATTTGAAATAGTGCACAAGTGACTTTTTTCTTTAGTTTTCATCTTCCGTATCTGCTTGTTTACTCAGGGTGGTTTCTTTGAGATTCACCAACCACAGATGACTCAAGAACTTTGTCTCCCATTATCCATAGTTCTTTGCATCTCCATCAAAGCAAAGCCTGCTCCATCGGTTTTCAACATCCCTCATTGGTCCATAACCAGTTGCCAACTTCATTGGCATTATATGCAAAAGTGAAGGAATAACACCAAAAATGTGTACTGTGGCTCTCAGCTTCATGCTCACAGGGGAGGAGGCAAGGCAATAACATTATTCACACTATTGACATTAGCACTAATAATAACTCAACAATGTGAAATCTATGAACTTTGACTATTCAACTTGGGAATATATATTTTTACCTTGCAATAGGTACTGCATTATGACTGGCCACCACTAAGTACTGATAATACTCTCTTTTACTGCATTCCTATTTTCTTCTAAAACATCTTATACATGCTGTATTCTGGGTAGCTATTACAGCTAGTCCTCACTTAACGACCTACCTGTTTACCAATTGCTTGGACATACTATCAGATCTCTAGCGTGGGGAAACCTCTGAAAACATAGATTCAATGGATTCCCTGCACTAGAGAGTTGGTCTATTTTGGGGGGAATTTCCCATAAACATAGATTCAAAGTATTCCCTGTGCTAGTGAGCTGGTCTATGTTCAGGGGAATTTCTCAAACATAAACCTGTTTTCTAGTGCATGCAAGACTTGGTTGTCTCACTGGCATGAGGCATCCTAGTTTACCGACCAATTTTGTTTTACGACCTTGTCATAGGAAGAGAACTAGTTGTAAAATATAAACTTCATGATGACAAAAAGTATAAATAAGTTTGAATCACTTACATTTTTTTTATCATTGTAATAAGTGAAAAATTTAATTTCCCTAGAGAATAATAGGCAGATAATCTACACTATTTTAGCAACATCAAATAGTAAATATGCTCACATGTGATTTATATTAGATCTATTATTCGCTAAATATTAAAAGCTATGCAAAGATTTAAAAGAACAAACAGAAGACTATGGATCAAGTCTGAGAATGAAAACATGTAACCAGTCTGGATTAAGCATACTACGCTGATTTTGAATGTTTGCCCACCGACAAAGAAATTATCAGTCTATAATTTTAAAGGTAGGTGTATTTTAACAGTGAGAGACAGAATAACAAAAAATAAAATCTAGCCCATATGGTTTAGCTTTCTGCTTCACATAAAGGCATCTGCTCTGCTAGTGTTTTGCACTTAGTTATGTCTAAAGGGAGATCTCATTTCTTATAATCATTGTCCTTTTATTTCTTGCAAAATGTTCTAAGCTAACAGAAAACATTAAAGCAGAGATGGCTGGTGTTTTATCTCTGAACATCTTGTATGACATCCCTTGTTACTATCAAATGCACTTTTTGTGTTCAAATTTCATGGCCTCATGAGATGCCTTTAAAAAGTATATGTGCATGGTTCAAAGGCACTGTCGATCAGTGAAATAATCCCTTTTTTGCATCATCATAAATAAACAAAAAGAGGCATTATTTTATTTCCTTTCTTCATCATTGACTGTGGTGAAATGTATCCTAAAATATGACAAACATGTTTTTCTAAGATTATGAATTTTGCTTTTATGTCTATTAACAAGGTAGTCCACTACATGGAGTAAATCTAATGTTCATTGCAAAATTTAAAATGCCTAGAGCCATTTAAATGATGTAAAAGTATTTTTTTTTAATTCTTTATTTTTCTTGTGCATAGATTGACAACAGGTGTGCAGAGCTACGACAGCATCTACATGCATTTCCTTAACAGTTCACATTGTGACAGTTTAAAGGGCACATTTTTTAAATTATATGAAAATATCAAGCTATTGAACATAATTTGTATGGTATAACATGCTAAGCTAGACATGCATAGAGCAGTGCTAGTTGTGCTTAAGATATGAAGCGGGCTAGTTGTTTAAATGTATGCCTTTGCAGAGCATTAAAAATAATAAGGAAAGAGATAAACAAAAAGAAAAGTAAATGCTAGACGATCTGTTTGTTATGTGTTAATTGCTGGCATGAACAGTTTTACTGTGTTGGCTAGTCTACATGTTATGTGTGACATGTGTGTGTGTGTGATTAGCGCTGGGCATTTATTTAAACAAAGTAAATTATTAAAGACAGAATATATGATGTTCGTCAATGCTGGGTTATTTAGAATAGAATGGTTGTGAATTAGTAGCTTGTGTTATGTCGTAGCCGAAGTTGGTCTATATGTGGTGCTTGGACATAGTGTGCTGTGCATACATAGGCTGCAGGGCACTGTAGTATACATAACATTGCTATGTCTTGCCTAGCATTCAAGGTATCATTCTTACTTAGTCCAAGCATGGGTATTAACTGCTTTGTCAAATTTTAACTGTCCATGGGACCATCAGGAACGGGTTTCATCAATGTTAATATTAGTACCACCAGTCCATGAGGACGTATGAGCATAGTCCATTCGTGACTTGTGTTATGCTTCAGGGTTCGGGTACTCAGCTGGATTGTGTGCTCGAAACAGTTTGAAGCAGTGTGGTAGGCACTTCATCCTATGCCCAGCGCTGGTAGGACCCACGGGCTGTTGCTATTATTTTCGTCATAGCGGCCGCAGGGCCCGGTATCTCCATTTCAGGGGTCAGCTCCAGGATGTCGCTCCGTGGTGTGCAGTTTCTTGGTCGCTTGTATTGCAGTGTTGGTTGGGGAGTGGCGCTTGATGTTGTGCTGGTAGCCGAGATTAAGATCAGGTGCTTTAGTGGCGTGCATCGCTGGATTTGAGATCTCGGCTTTGCGTGTGTCCGAGAGGCCTGGCGCCGGGCCCCGCCTCGAGGCCCTCCGGTATCTATTTTGCCTGACGGCCATCCTGGATGCTTGGGGTACCTGCATGTAGTGCCTGCGTTGCGCTGCTGGTCGCATCCATGAGGACACTGTCCGTTCAGCTTGGCAGTGAGTTGCTCCTCGGTTTTGCAGTGCTGCCCTGAGACCAGCGCAGGTCCAGTCAAATATTGTCATAAGGGACGTGTGTGTCCCGGAGCGGGTGCTCTGCTTGCTCGGCTCAGGTTGGGCGGTCATTTTGGCTGTACCTCATGGGTCTGTTGCCCCGCCATATCTTGTAGTTGGTGTGCTCTTGTTCCCTGCTGGTCCGTGTGTACATCGGAGACCAGGATGTCCCCCACTGGTCCAAAAGGGGGGGTATGCTGAGGTGTAGTTGACGCCTCCCCTCTGCTTCATCCCCAGTAGGCTGTATGTGGAACTCAGCTTTCTCGACGTCGACAGGCACCCGGGTGGTGTCGTTGTACTCAGTGGGGCACCCTCAATGTGGGTAGTGCACCCTCCGATGGTTGTGGGCTTGTTAGCCATCGCTTGTATCCCGTATTCCGCCCGCCGGATTGGAGCTCGTGGAAGATGCATCTGCACGGCTCGGTGGTCAAACTCAGCCCCTCGATGTAAAAGTATTTCAAACCAATAGATGTAATTAATACTATATATTTTAATTGTCATTAGATATTTGGAAGAAATTGTAATATTACAGACTTTTATTTTCTTTTGCATCCATAAGTCTTTTTTTTCAAAAAAATATAATTTAGAAACTGATAGTGAGGAATTTTCTCAGTCAGGCCTTTTACCCTTGCCATGATCTTTTGTATCAATTTGCAACTCTCTGTATTTCTCTTTGTCCCCAAACCATATATTGAGGAGCCCCAATGAATGAGACAAGACAAAGTAAGGTTCAAGGTGACTTCTGACATTTAATGGACTGTGTAACAGGTTATATTCAGCAGGAAAAAGGGGTGGTCTTTACAAACATTATCCAATCCTAATTAAATCATATTTCTTATCTTAACATCTTAACTTATAGCAAGCTTGCAGGTGTATCTTAATGTCCGGGCCTTGCACAAAAGTTAAGTTTCAATTGACACACATATGCACTTAGAATTACAGATATTAACTACGCAGTTCTAAATAACACATTACTAAGCAGTTATGATCAAAGTGAGGAATACAGGAAATAAGGCCAGCAGCAGAAACTCACAGGATATAACACCTGGTACACAATGTTCTATAGCTCTTGTCTAGGGGTATATTCACTAAGCATTGGATATAGATAAAGTATATTATTTCAAATGTTCCAAGTTAGCCAATTTTAAACAGACTGAGCATCCAGTCATCTGTAGCTTGAGCCTTGGGTCAATATAGGAAAAGTGTATTAGTCCCAACAGTTTCCCTCCGTTCACAACATGAACGCAAATAGTCAAAGTGGGAATAATACCTATCCCCAGTCTGTGGACCAGGATCTAGGATTACCAGTCCACCCGGTGATCTGGGGCCAGGTCAAAAACCCAGTGGCAAAAACTCAAATGTGAGGGAAAGGCACATCTGGGGAAACCCTAGGTGGGGACCTCGACCGTGTAGACATGTCATTCCCTCATGTTGGCACCACTTGTGACTTATAATACCCATACCTGTGAGTACATAGCTCGGGTATCAGGAGGAATTTGGAAACACTTCTTGATAATGGTGGAAAAAGCCCATTTTCATATTATGATCAAAAGGCATATTATCATCAGACTCCAGGACCTTGCGTCCTATATCTCCTAACCAATTCCCTATTCTAAAGGTCAAATCAAACCCAGTCATATCCACACTCAGTTCCTTAAAACATGGGAATCCATCCTTGACACACTCAACATACATCAAAGACACATACTACATCCGTCCCTGGGTCAGCTAACACTTCCTCTCTCTCCGGCTAACTCTACAAAAATAAAAATAAAATAGTTCAATACTTCAGCATATTTCAGAAAAATAAAATAAGTCTTTCAAGGAGTAAAAAGAAATCAGTTTAGACACCATACATTTGGATACCCATTAAAATAGCTAAGGGTAGCAATATGGCTGACAACAAGACAATTTTAGCTTCCACATAGTTCTTAGTTCTTCTTTTATTTCCTGGATGTTCACCACAATGCTCTGTGCAACACCCCAATTGTTGAAAGGGTTATTACAGAACCAGCGGCTTTGGACAGCACTACATCTTCATGACTTTCCAGGTTCTAGCGTACAAAAGTTATATTCTCATATGAAAGCATCTCAGTTTCTTCGGCCTGCATGGATTTTGATCAAACAGATGTAATTGCAAAATAGTTAGTGCAGGGTCAGCCAGAGAAAGATTGGTGTGCAGGTCTAAACAATCAGATAGCACAAACACACCAGAACAATCTCTACAATCATACCAACAGAGATCAATACGACATGAACAATTCCTAAAAAGATATATCTCTTGTTTATCAATTAATCAATTACCTAGGCTAAAGTCAAATTAGAGACTAAAGTTAAACCCTTAACGTGTGTATCATGTACTTCTCTCAGCTTTGCTTATATTTCATGCAATCTGTCTTCTATGCAATTTTACATAATTTCCCTTTAAAATGCCTTTGTACATATGAGAGAAGCACTCACTCTATATAAATACTTGTTCGATAGGATGAGTACCAAAACACTAACATATAAATATGGGGATAATTCCCAATAAAACTATGTTCCTAAACTTAAACCTTGATTTGATACTCCCAATTAATTACTTTAACAATCCCAAATAATTCAATACTCTTGGATTAAAACCCAAAATGAGATATAAAATGTTAAAAACATAAAATATCTAATTCAAAATTCCTATAAAATCTATTAATATCTTATTACAAAATCCTTACTTATGGCCTTTGTTCCCTATAATGAACAGTGCTAGGGTGAGATTACCTAAACCACACACACCCTCCTTGTGTACCACACAGATTTAGTAATAATAAGCTTTTGAAGATTTAATATATAGTTACATTGTGTATATAAGGCATGGTTGTCTAGGGGTGTATACATCAACAGTGAAAACATAGCCCTCATATAGGGTTTGCAATACTGACGGTCTGGGTCATGGGCGTAATGCACACATGCGGTTAGGTACTTTTCCATTGTCAGAATATGTTAAAAACACAAAGATTTTGCAAATGTTAATAAGCATATTGCTTCTTGTACCTGCAAGGATGTTGTTGGGACATAGTTCAAACTGAGTATCAAAAGTCTCTAACCAAAAAAGTTTAATTGTATATGCTTATCAAAAAATCAAGTTTAACCCGTTAGTGCGTTCTTTGGGTGGCCTCTTCCAATAATTTGGCTCCTAGTGAGATTATTATATTATTTATTTATCCTCTCCTGGGTGTGCGAAATGCTTTTAATTTACCCTTACAATTTAATACAGTAGTTTAGTAGATTAGAATTGCTCACTTATAAATGTCAGAAATTGATCTCTATTAAAAGTACCATTTCATAATTACCCTATGATCAATGAGGTATACTAGATGAATCTTACTTTGGAAATAAAACCTATCCTATACATCCATCATTTTTTTTTTTCAACAATCAATAACATAACTTTTTTTTTTATATAAACACTGCAATGCACTTTAAAAATAGAGTTAACTCTGAGCTGGACAATACTCCCCTAATAGTACTCCTTTATGAGGGAGAGCTATTTTCTTGTCTATTTAATATTTTTTCAGTGAAAGAATTTGTAGCGGAGGAGCAGGGGTTAATCCAATGGCTCTCCACTGGGAACAAAAATTCAGCATACAAAATCACAGGAACACAGCATAATCCACCTCCCCAAGGACTAGACGACACATAGTCTGGGAGTCAACTGTCAGCTTTATTCACTTTTATGCATTTCTCCCATGCAAGGGAGGTAACTTTCAGAATTAGTACAGTAGCCAATTGTAACCCGGTCACCTCCCCTCCCTCTCCTCCCCTTAAATTAGCACTTAAACAGATTAGTGGGGACAGAGTTTTCCCCACTTTCTGGATGTCCCCTAAATACAGGGGGTACAGGGACAAATAAGGGGTCCCTGGTAGATCTGATCTGGGTGAGCAACATACTCGAAATTCACCCAGATCGGACCAGGGGTTCGGGAGTTACAGACAGTTAAAGTTTTGACCGACCGCAGGGACTCAGTAGCCGAAAACAGTTCCATGAATTCTGGCCCTGCGGTCGGTCTATTTCAGTGAATTAAAAATACCGAACAGCCTAGTCATCCATGCGATTGCAAGCCTTCGCATGAATCCCCTCGTTTAGGGGAATCTATCTACCGAACGCCGGGGCGTTCGTGTGTTTGATTCTCAGTGCTGGAGGTCTCAGTGGTACTTGGTTAGTCGAATGCCCGGTTTGAGTTCCAGGCGTTCGACAACCAAGTACCGCTGTTCGTGCGTAAGATGGCCGCCGCCACGTGTTCGGTAGGCGAAATGGCGGCCACACATACAGGTACTTAATCCCCTCGCAACATTGTATCGTTCAGCTAATTGGAAACACACGACCACCCCGGGGTGGTCTCCCGTTCGGTAGTTTCGGCCATTCGCCTAAAAACAGCAATATAACAGGAAAGTCCATTCGGTTAGTTATTCCCTTGGTGAAAGTCACTCCTGCACACAAAATCATCAGTTCCAGTGGCAGGGTTTGCCACAGAATTACTTTCAGAATTAGTCAATTTACAAAGGGAAACATGGATTCATGATTTGAATAGCAGAAGTTTGTGGAGCCCCTTTTGCGTGAGATGTAACAAGTGCTTTTCTTGCAAAGTTTCATATTATAAAATAATCTCTAGGAGTGATAGCATGCAATGGTTTTATTCTTGCCGGCTGTACAGCATTTGACTTGTTGAAAAAATATAATTTTTTTTTTTCGGGTCCCGGACGAGCCTCCAATTGATAGCTAGAATTTTTTTCCATCAGTCCTTTTCCCCTTGCCATTGGCTTTTGTATCAATTTGCAACTCTCTATATTTCTCCTTGTCCCCAAATGATATGGTGAGGAGCTCCAATGAATGAGACAATACAAAGTAAGGTTCAAGAAGAAGGTACAGGGATATAGAGGATGCAGAGGAGGAATCAAACTACAATACAGGAAAAAGAGCAAGAATGTTGAATTGGAGGAAGTAAGTCATTTATCTAAGTATAAACCAACATATGCACAGACGAAAGTTTTAAATAGGGGTTTAAATTTTGCACCCGATAATAAGTTTAATTCTT